TGCCAGGCTCAGGGCCAGGGCCAGGAGCAGATGGTCCCTCTCGGCACGGCCGCACGGCACAGCACGGGCGCGCTTGGGCATGGCAAGGCACTGCACGGCTCCTCTGCCTGCGATGCCCTGCTCCAGCCAGGGCTCCCCGGCCACACTCCCACTCGCCAGGAGAATTTGGGCTTCCCCAGGGCCACATGCTGGCCATGCCAGGACTGTCCCATGTCACCCAAGCCGGTGACACGCACACGTGCTGACACTCTACAGACATTTTTGGCTATAAATAGGCCTCCCCTGCGCACGGCGCCAGCTGAGCCCCGCTCCCTTCTTAGGAGCTGCCCCCCCCTGCACCCCAAAATCACCAGACAGTGCCCCAAAACCACACGACAGCTATAAAATACTTCATGGGGGGCCATGCTGGCACCCAGCAGGGTTTTTTGAGTCTCCTGTGCTTGCCACCATCTTCCAGGGTGCCCCAATCCCCTGGTTTGGGAGCTGGAGATTTATAAAGGGAAAAGCTGGGAAATCAGGCCTGGGGGACCCCCAGGTTATTGGGGTGAGGGTAAGCTCAACATCCACCCGTGAGCATCCTCCTGGCACCGGGACAAGGGGGCCCATGGGCACGGCACCCCAAAAACCCTTCCCAGTAACTCCAGTTTTCTCAGTTGCTAAAAACTGGGGGACAAAGTGGGTTGTGTATGTGTCCTACCAAGACCCTCAGGACTCGGCTTTTCCACCGTGTCCCAACAGTGCTGGCGGCACCAAGGACTGGTGTGGGGAGCCCTCCAGGGGTTGGCACCCCGGGAAAAGTGTCCCCAGGGTGTCCCCACACTGTCCCCGAGCTGTCCCCAGGGTGTCCCTAGAAAGTCACCGCCACTCGCCAGCCCCGTCCTTCCCGAGAGCAGCCCCGAGGGACACGGGATGCCAGCAGACCCCCCGCCGCAGGGAGAAAAGGGGGTTCAGGCTCCCCGGAGGGCTCTTCACCCCCGCCACCAAACTTTCCTCCGTGCCCACCGTCTCCCCCCCGGTACCGCGCCCGGTGTTCGGTGCCGCACCCCCCACTCGGTATCCCCCGGGGCGGGCAGTGCCTGCCGGTGCCCCCCCCGGCGTGTCCCCAGGGACCGGCGCCTCCCGCTGTCCCCCGGTCCCTCCCGTGTTCCCCGGAGCGGCGTATCCCGGTGCCGCGGGGTCTCACCTGCGCGGGGCGGCGGGCGGGCGAGCGGCGGCGGCGGCGGCGGGGCCGGTGCGGGAGCGGGGCGGGGGGAGAGGAGCCGCCCTGCACCGCGATATAAATAACATTATCTGGGCGCGCAGGGACATTCCTACCCGGAGCCGGCGGCGCTGCCCGGCCCCGATAGCCCCGCTCCCCCCGGGAGGGCCGGACCGGGCGGGCGGGGACGGGGATGGGCGCAGGGACGGGGACGGGGACGGGCCGCCCGCCCCGCAATGCAGCACAGCGGCGCCCCCCGGCCGCCAGCGCCACCGGCACCGGCAGCAGCACCGACACCGGCAGCACCGGCATCGGCAGCGGCATCGGCAGCAGCACCGGTGGCACCGGCAGCTGCAGGCTGCGGAGAAGCGCAGCGCCCCGCCGACACCGGCGGGGGTCCCCGGCCATTCCCTTCGGGCAGCCCACGTGTCCCCCGCTAGTCCTAGATGCCCCCCAGCTACTCCCAGGCATCTCTCAGCTAGCCCTAGGTGTCCTCCACTAGCCCTGTGAGCTCCCCAGTTCGTCCCAGGCACCCCATAGTTAGATCTCAATGTCCTCCATCTCGTCCCAGGCACCCCCTAATTAGCCTTGGGTGACCCCCACCAGTCCTGGATGTCCCCCAGCTAGTCCATAGTGTCCTCCATCTAACCCAGGCAGTCCCCAGCTAGCCCTGGATGACCCCCAGCTAGCCCAAGCCGCCCTACAATCAGCCCTGGGTGTCCCTCTCTATCCCTGGATGCCCCCCCAGCTAGTCACAGGCACTCCGCACCTGGCCCTGGGTGTTTCTGACTATTCCAGGGTGTCCCGCAGCCAAATACCAACACCCCACAGTTGGCCCTGAATATCCTCCAGCTAATCCTAGGTATCCCCTGGACCCCTCCCAGGTACTTCCCAGGGTCTCCCACTAGCCCTGGATATCCCCTAGCTAATCCTAGGCAGCTCCCACCTAGCTGTGGGTGCCCTTCTCTAGCCCTGGATGCTCCCCGGGTCACTTCAGGTGTCCTCCACTAGCCTTGGCTGCACTCAGATAGCTCCAGATGTCCCCTACTAGCCCTGGGTGCCCGACTAGCCCAGACCCCGCAGCTATTCCTGGTCGCTCCAAGCAGCCCCACGGCCCTTTAGGCCCCGCCCATTTCTGCAAACCACACCCATGTGCTCGAGGCCCCGCCCACACACGGCGCCTCAGCCCCCACCCCATCGCTAAGCCCCGCTCCCCGGCGCAAGTCTCGCGATATTTCCGGGAGAGGGCGTTGCGAGATGTGCGGCGGCTGTGTGGGCACCGAATACCCGGAGCGGGTGAGGGCGGGCGGGGGGCCCCGGTACCGGTCCCGGTCCCGGTCCCGGTCCTGGTCCTAGTCCTAGCATGTGCTCCCGCCCTAGGGCACCACCTGCCTGGAGGGCGGATCTTTCCTCCTGAACTTTGTGGGGTGTGCGCAGTGCGGCCGCCGGGACTTCGTGCTGGTCAGCAACCGGGCCGAGGGCCTGCAGGGCGAGGAGGAGATCGTCACCTATGACCGTGCGGTGGGGGGCACCAGGGGGGTGGGGGAGCCTTTGGGGTGTGGGGTTCTTGAGGGTTGGGGGGCCTGAGGGGACCTTTGGGGTCTGGGGCTCTTGAGGGCGATATTTGGGGAATTCCTGAGCCATCCATTGAGGCTCAGGGATCGCTGAAGGTTGGGGGTCTTGAAGGCTGGGAGGGGTCGGTGGCCCGGGAGTGTTGAGTGTTGGAGGAGATCTTGGGTCTTGAGAGATGCTGAAGGCTTTTGGGGGACCTTTGGAGTCTGGAGCTTGGGCGATCTTGAGGGTTAGAGAGGGCTGGAGGGGACCTTTGGGTTCTGGGGGTCTTGTAGGCTGGAAAGCAAGGTGGAGGCCTTGAAGGTTGAGGCCTGGGGGTAGCATTTGGATTCTTGCGGATCTTGAGGGCTGGGAGGGATTCCTGAGGCGTGGGGGCTCTCAAGGGCTGGGGCATGATGGGGAGGGCTCAGAGGTCAAAGGAGGGGGAGACCTAAGAGAGGATTAATTTGAGTGCGGAAAATTTGAGGCCCCAATATTTGGGGGGGGGGGGGGGTCCCTGAGGGTGGGAATGGTGGATGCCCAGGGAGAGGATCTCAAGTTTAGAGGGAGTACCAGGGAGTTGCTGATGGGCATTAAGGGGGATGAGTTGCTGTGGGGGGAGTTTTGGGGTCTTGATGCTTTGGGGACTGCAACATCTATGCTCTGGGGGTGAGGGCAGGCACAGAGGATTGGGGCTTGTCCCAGGAGATTGGGAGTGGGGTGCTACCCCAGGGGCCGTGTCCATGTCCTCTCACCCCACTGTCCCCTGCCCAACAGACCTGTGCAAGAACTGCCACCACCTGATTGCACGCCATGAGTACACCTTCAGCGTGGTGGACGACTACCAGGTTTGTCTCTTGTCCCCCAAAAGCCCTTTCCTGACTCTGTCTCCGGAATTCCAGACCCACCCTTCTACAGGCTGATTCCCACCTTCCCGGCGACAGAACCTCAAAGGATTCAGAGCCTCATCCCTGTGTCCAGGGCTACCTGGAGTCGCCCCAGAACTAGTCCATGCCTTGTGTGGGAAGCCCAGCTCACCTGGCATGATAATGTGGGTGATGGGAGGGGGCTGTGACCCCCATTCCTCATTCCTGGCACATCTCCTATGCAGCAAACGGCTGGAAAAAGGGCTCAGTGGAGCCAGTGGGGTTGGAAACAAGATACCCTGGCTCTGATTGCAATCGGGGATCGGGTACCAGATCTGGCTCGAGTTTCCCTGTGGGGGAGCAGGGCTGTGGCAGCCCCCCTTTTTCCAGCCTCTCCCTTTTCCTTCCCCCAGGAATATACCATGCTGTGCCTGCTCTGTGGCCGTGCTGAGGATTCCGTCAGCATCCTGCCTGATGACCCTCGCCAGATGACCCCGTTGTTCTGATCCCCATGCTAGAATGAGCTTCCAGGAGCTCTGGGAGATCCCTGGATACCCAGCACTGTAATTTCTGGGGACCACACAGTCCCTGATATGGTTTGCTTCTCCAAACTTCCAGCCTGGATGCAGCGAACACCCAACACCAGATGCTCCCATGTTTCTGGAGCCTTTTGGTTCCAACTCTGACTGCAAGGATGGGATGCAGTGCCACGGCCCGAGCCCCCTGTGTACTGAAGATATAAAGGGTCCCCCAAAACAGGATTCAAAAGGATTCCCACCCCATCCCACCTCAGGAGCCCTCGTATGTGGGGTAATAAATGTGAGATGTGACAGCTCGGTGGCAGAGGCAGGAGTATTTCGGAGGTGGGCTCCACCCCCTGGAGTCGGTGAAGGGTGTTGGGGGCTGATGAAAGGGACCTTTTCCATCCCAGGAGCCTGTGGAATTCCTCCTTGGCCCTTCCCAGCACTGGAGAGCCCACTGCACTCTCCCAGTGCTCTGCTAAATGCTGCAGAGAAAGGACTTGGATCGTTTTTCCTTCCCGAGGAGTTGGTTTAGGGTCACTTCCCCCTCCCCTGGGGTTTGTAACCTGGCCCTGCCCTGCTGGGAATTCCAGTTCCTGAGGCGGGAAGGAGCTTGATGTGGGAAATCACTGCCCTGGGGTGGGTGAGGTGCTGCTCTTGGCACCCGGCCCCAGCAACACCCTTGGGGAACTGGGTGCAGCTAGCCTGGCACCCACCTATCCCTGAATCTCCATTTCCTGGATCTGGCACCTCAGGGCTGCGTCCTCCTTCTTGCTCCCCACAACAGCCCCCAAAAACCACGTGGGTGTGGGTATGTTCCTAGAAATCTCATGGATTCATTTACACTCCCAAAAACCACGTGGATCCAGGCACACTCCCTCCAGCTCATTTATTGCCACCAGCCCACGCCACCCCGGCAGCTCCAACCCTCTGCCCCCATCAAGCCCCCTCCCCCTGGAGGTTTCAGAGGGGGCTGTCATTCTGCGGAGAGCTGGGGCCATCCCGGGGTGACGCCGGAGCCAGGATCACACCAGAGCCAGGATCATGCTGGAGCTAGGATTACTTGGCCAGCTTGAGGAGACGCTGGATGTCAGGCTCCAGCTGGGCCGTGGGCACACGGGGGCTGTAGCGCCGGAACGGTTCCCCCTCAGGCCCCACCAGGAACTTCTCAAAATTCCAGGAGATGTCGGAGCGCCGCACAGGGCTCCAGGTGACAAAGCGGGGCTCGCCCATCAGGTGTGTGGCCTCGTCAGCCGGTGCAGGCAGGTGAGCCTTGAGGTAGGCGAACACAGGATGGGTGTCGGTCCCGTTCACCTGGCACTTCTGGAACAGGGTGAAGTTGGGCTCGAAGCCACCCCCGGGCCGCACATGCTTCAGGGTGTTGAGGATCTCCTCGTTGGTGCCGTTCTCCTGTGGCGGGGAAGGAGAAATCCAGAGCCCTTTGTTTCCCAGCTCCTCACCCCCTGCCTCATGGCCCTTAGGACTTACCTGGTATCCAAACTGGTTACAGGGGAAGCCCAGCACGACCAGCCGCCGGGGGTAGCGGGCTTGGAGCTGGTTGAGCTGGGTGTAATCCCGCACCGTGGTGCCTCAGAGTGAAGCCACGTTCTCGATCAGGACCACGCGGCCCCGGAAAACCCCAAAATCCACCTTTTCCCCCTGCAAGGAGGTGGCGCTCAGGTCATAGAAGGACTTGGCGATGGGGACGGTCATGGCTGCAGGTGTGCTGCTGTTTGTGCCCCGTGCCCTGCGCCGCCTCTTAAGGGCTTCCCGGTGCTCACGTCATGGTCCAAAGGTCTCCAGGCCCCGCCGCAGCTCAGGAGAAACTGGAGCCGCCCGTCCCACCCGTGGAAGGAGGAAGGTGGCACGGGGCCAAGGCGATGCTCTACCTGCCTCAATAATTCATGGCACGGCACAGTGCGGCTGCTCATCCTAGTGCCTGCAGGATGTGGGATGCTCCCAGCCTGGCGCAGCATGTTCCCGAGGGTTGGGAATGATAGTGAGAGTTGGGGAATAACAGGAGTCAGGGGATAACGGGAATCTGGGAGCTGGGGCTCTGTGGGGCAGAGGAGGAGGGGACAAATGTGCCAATACTCCTTGCCTGGTGCTGCCATGGCATCACTTCTGGGGCAACCTGTGCTACCCATCCCAGTGCCCACCAGTCTCAAGGCCCACTGGTCCCAGTACCAGCTCCACCGTTGTCCTGTGCCTGGCAGCATCCTGGTGTCCACCTAGATCCCAGTAGGTTCCACTGTCTTAGTGCCCATCGTCATCCCAGTAACCACCCATCCCGGCCCACCACCATCCCACTGCTGGCTCATCCCAGTGCTGCCACCAAGCTTTCCAGCCCTGTTCCCACAGCTGGGGCTGACCTGGTAGCCTGACAGGCCATGGTGGTGGCCATGGCACCCCAGAGGCTCTATGCCCCATGTTTGTGCCCAGCCTGGAAAGGGGACACCATGCCAGCAGCCCCAGATCACCCTCAATTATTGATCACCGCTCGGGTGTCCATGCCCAGGCTATGTCTGCTGCCATGGCATCATGCCCACAGTCCCTCTGGAGCACACAGACCACCAGCCCCTCCAGCATCACCTTTATTCTGCAAACCACTGTGTAAAACGGGGGTCCCACGGGCACAGGGTAGCACAGGTTGGGCACACAGCGCCTGGACAGTCCCCACCCTACCTGCAAACCTAGCAGGGCACAGGTGCCAGGATGAGGGGCCCCCCTTGCCACCTTCCCATCCCCCCTGTCCCTAGGGGTGTCCCATGTTACCCCCCACGGGGGCTGCCCCAGTCCTGCCCCTAGCATGCCCCCCGACACACCCTGGGGAGGAGGGGTCAGGGGCGTTCCAGCCTTCAACACCAGCAGGTTTTGGGGGTGTCCTCGCTCCCCAGGGGCTGCTGCTCATTCTCCTCCAGCCGGGCCAGGGTGGGGGCGCGGGGCAGCCCCCGCAGCTCGTCCAGCTCCTTGCGGTGCGCCTGCAGTACCAGCTCTGTCAGCCGTGTGAAGGACTGTGGGAGAGGGGTGGGGTGAACCTTGGAGACCCCGCCAGCACACCCTGACCTCTCCAGGTTCCCTAGGCCAACCCCTCAGAATCCCACCAGCCCCCCTCCCCAGTCCCCTCATACCTCCTTGATGTTGAGGTTGCTGCAGGCGCTGGTCTCGTAGAAATCCATCCCGTATTCCCTGGCCAGCTGCGGCACCAGGGGTTTGGCAGGGAGGGGAGTAGCATGATTTGGGGGGAGGGGGGATTCAATCCCCTGGCCTCCCTCTCTGGAACGTGCACAGCTGGGCATGGACAGACAGGAGAGCTGCGGGGGGGGGCTGGCATAGGGGCACACCTGCGGCTGAGTGTTGGGTGCAGGGGGCCCTGGGAGGGGCGCTGAGTCCAGAAGTCACTGGGAGGAATACTGGGGGGCACTGGGTGATTTAGGGGTGCAGAGGAGCACGATGGAGGTGCAGGGAGGGGTTGGGGGTTGTTGGACACCCTGGGGTAGCACTGGGTGGGGTTTTCTGGATGCTCTGTAGCCACAGAGTGGGGGGTGGTCAGTGGTCCCTGGGTTCGGACTGCAGGAGCATGGGGGGTCACTGGATATAGGTAGGGAGGTTTGGGGGCCCTTGGGTACGAGTAGGGCTGCAGGAAGGATATTGGAGCCCATGTGGAATGCGGGGGGGCTTGTGCAGGGTCTGACCGTGCTGAGATTGCAGGGAGGTGCACTGGGTGCTTTGGGGGTCAAGAGGTCCCAGGGGGAACACCGAGAGGGTCACTGTGTCCTTCAGGGGTGCAGGAGACCATGGCAGAGGTGCAGGGAGAGATTAGGGGTCTCCGAACATTTTGCTTTGAGAGTGCACAACCACTGCAGGGGTGGAGGGGAAGAGGGTTCCCGGACACTGTGGGTCCTGTTTTTGAGGTGCCTGGGTACAGACTGCAAGAAGGTGGGGGGTCCCTGGCTGTGCTGGGAGGGGCTGGGAATGCTTGGGGGTCCCGGATAGAAGTAGGGCTGCAGGAGGGCTGTCGGGGTCCCGAGTGCAGAGGGGGCTCATGGAGAGGCTGGCCATGCTGGGGGTGCAGGAGGGGTCCTGCTCTCTGGGGGGGGGGCACACAGCAGCCCCCGCTCACCTGCAGCCCTTGCTCTTTGGGCACTTGCCTCTTGTGCTCCTCGTCTGCCTTGTTCCCGATGAGGATTTTCTGGACGCCATCAGGTGCATACTGGGCAGGAGAACAGTGTACAGGAACATACTGGGAATACGGCTGGGGAACCCCCAGACCTCCCCTCATGAACCCCCACCTCATCCACGTCGCTGGCCCACTTCACGATATGCTGGTAGGAGCGCTCGCTGCTAATGTCGTACACCAGGAAAATTCCCTGCAGGAGGTGGGGGGCAGCCGTTGATACCCCCAAACTGTGCCTCAGTTTCCCCTCTCCTGTGGACCAGGACAGGGAGCCCCCCTACCTGTGCCCGCCGGTAGTACTGCTTGGTGATGGTCTGGTACCGCTCCTGGCCAGCTGTATCCCTGCCCAGGGACAGCAGGTCAGTGCCACCACCCATGGCATGAGTTTGGCAGGGCTCAGCCCCTACCCTGAGTGGGGGGACTCAGGCCCCAAAATTTCTTCCCTCTTCCCCCCGGAATCCAGTGCTGCTACTCACCAGATCTGTATCCGCACCTTGATCCCATCCACCTCGATGGTCTTCATCTTGAAGTCAACACCTGGGATTGGAATGGGAGAGGTTGTGGGGTGTTCTAGTGTTTTCCTCTGTAGGAGCTGCTGCCACTGGGCATCCTCTGGTCCCCTCACCTCTCCTGACCCACCCCATGCCCTACCATGGCCTGGTGCTGGTCCCCACACCCAGTGCCTGGCCTGGAAGGAGGCCCCAGTGCCAGGTGGTGATCCTGGTGCTCCCAGCTCCCTGGTGCTGCAGCTGTCCAGTTCACCCAGTTCCCCAGTGCTATGGCTTCTCGATGCTGTGGCTGCCCAATGCTCCCAGTTCCCGGCTGCAAGCTGCACCCGGTTCCCCTGTGCCAGAGGTGCCTGGTCCTTCCAGTTCTCCTGTGTCCGTTTCCTGGCTCCCTGATGCTCTCGGTTCCCTGGAACCGTGGCTCTCTGGAGCCCGCGGTTTCCCGGTTTCCCTATGCTGCAGCTTCCCGGTGGTCCTGGCTTGTGGATGCCCACGGTTTTACCGTTTTCCGACGCCCACGGCTTCCCGGTTCCCCGATGCTGCGACTCTCGATGCTCCTGGTTCCCTGGTGCCCACACTTTTCCCTCTCCCTAGTGCCCACGGTTTTCCCGCTCTCTGGTTACCTGCTTCCCCATGTTCCTAGTGTTGCAGCTCTCCAGTGCCCACGGTTAACCCTTTCCTGGTGCCCCCATTTTTCCCGTGCCCACCACTCCCCGGTTCCCTGGTTCCCACCACTCCCGGGTGCCCTGGTTTCCCGTTTCCCCGATCCTGTGGCTTCCCAGTTCCTCGGCAGTCCCTGTTCCCCGATGCCCACGATTTTCCTGTTCCCCGGGTTCCCGTTTCTCGGTTGCTGCGTCTCCCTTGTCCTCCTGGTTCTCCGGTTCCCACGGCTTTCCCGCTCCCCGGTTGCCCATTTTCCCGTTTCCCCAGTGCTGCGACTTCCCAGTACTCACGGTTTCCCGGTGCCCACGGCTCCCCAGTTCCCCGGTTTCCCTTTTCCCCGGTATTGCGGCTCCCAGTGCTCCCGGTTACCCGGTGCTGCGCCTCCCCATTGCTCCTGATTCTTTGATGCTCCCGGTTTCACGTTTCCCCGGTGCCGCGGCTCCCCGTTTCCCCGATGTTCCTGGTTCTCTGGCTTCCCATTTCCACAGTGCTGCGGCTCCCAGTCTTCCCGGTTTCCCGGTTCCCCGATGCTCCCGTTTCCCCGGTGCTGCGCCTCCCCATTGCTCCCGCTTCCCCAATGCTCCCGGTTGCCCGTTTCCCCGCTCCCGCCGCTGCGGCCGCCGTGCGCTGCCCGTGCCGGTACCGATGGTGGAGATGTGGGCGGGGTGGAACTGGTTGTCGGTGAACCGGCAGAGCAGGCAGGTCTTGCCCACGCCCGAGTCCCCGAGCAGCAGCAACCGGAACAGCACGTCGTACTGCTTGGCCATGGCGGGCCCGGGCCGCCGCCGCCGCCGCCACACCGGGGCCGCTCCGGGGCCGCGAGCTGCGCCGCCGCCGCCGCCGCGCCGGGCCGGGCTGGTGGCACCGGGGGATGCACCGGGGCGGGGCGGAGCGGGGGCGGCGGCGGCGGGAGGGGGCACCGGGAGGGGAAATGAGGGGGGCGACACCGGGGATGGACCGGACGATGCTGTGGGGAGCGGGGAGGGGACACCGGGGATACACCCGGGATACACCGGGAGATGCTGTGGGGAATTGGGCGGCGACACGGGGGATGGACTGAGAGGAGAGCTGGGGAGAACAGGAGAGCTGGCTCCCCGGAGCCAGGAATGCACCGTAGGAGATGTTAAGGATGCTCTGGAAAACGGGAGCTGGGAGACAGGAGATGGACCAGAGGGACCAGAGGGGACTCCGAAGGCTCTGGGAGACCAGGGATGTACCCGGGGTTGCTCTGGGAAGGGGACAGAAGGGTGCAGGGGACAGCAGGGGACACTGGGTGACACAGAGCTGCACCAGAGGAACTGGTGACACTTAGAAGGGATGGGATGGCACCCAGAAGGACCTGGACAAAGGTGGTTTGTCCGTGTTGTCCTGTCCAGGGACAAGGTTCCCATGAGAACCCCGT